ACTCACTGGAGAGAGATAGAGAGGGAAAGTTAGAAATCACCCTTTCAGGGGATGGCCATACTGTGATCCGTTCTTCTCCATTCTCTTCTTGGGATTTTGGGTGCACACACACACGTGCGCATGCACACACCATGAGTTTCAAACTATTGGGTCCAGGACTCAAAGTTGCCATCTGAGAGCCCACTGACTTAAATGCCATACCACCTGCTGACCCCATGATGTTAATGATATATAAATGTTTTATTTAATTTTTTATTATCATCATAATCTTGTTTATATTACATTGAATTGCATATAACTTTACAGTGTATTACATTACTTTTTCTTTTTCTTTTTTTGGAGAGTTTTTTGCTATAGGGTGCGTGTGCTCGCCAGAAAGACAAAGAGAGATAGAGAGACAGAAAGCGAGAAATCACCCCACCAGGGGGTATGGCCACGCCACAATCCTTTCTCCTCTATTCGCCTCTCGGGATCTTGGGCACGTACTCACACGTGCCCGGCGTAAGTTTAAGCCGCTGGGTCCGTGCTCAAACCGTGGTCAACTACCTGGGAGTCCAGCGACATAGCCATTATGCTTCACTAACGTCCTGTCTCTCTATTGTTCACTTGCTATCTTTCTCTATCCTCTTCTCTTCACTTACCCCATTCCACACTGTCCTATTCTCATTAAGTACCTTCACTGTGTTTATGTCCTCCGAATTTTTGCTCTCTATTATAGAGTGCGGATAGTCGGTATATATTGAGTGGATACATACAATATCTTTCTTTCATAGCCTGGCTTACTTCACTCAGCAATAGATCCTCCATATCTGACCATTTTCTATCAAATTCCAGGGTCTTGTTATTTTTTATGGCTGAGTAGTATTCCATAGAGTATATATACCACACTTTTCCAATCCATTCATCAGTTTGTGGACATTTAGGTTGGTTCCATGTCTTGGCAATTGTGAATAATGCTGCAATAAACATAGATGTGCAAGCACTTTTCTGACTGAGCGTTCTCCTGTCTTTTGGGTAAATACCCAGAAGTGGGATTGCTGGATCAAATGGTAGTTCTATTTGTAGATCTTTGAGGAACCTCCATATTATTCTTCACAGTGGCTAACCAGTTTACATTCCCACCAACAGTGTAGGAGGGTTCCCTTTTCACCACATCCTCGCCAACACTTACCACTTTTTATATTCTTAATCTTTGCCATTCTGACAGGGGTTAGGTGGTATCTCATTGTGGTTTTTATCTGCATCTCCCTTATGAAGAGGGATGTTGACCATTTCCTCATATGCTTTTTGACTGTTTGTATGTCTTCCTTAGAGAGATTTTTGTTCAGCTCATTTTCCTGTCTTTTAATTGGGTTAATCATTTTTTTTTCACATAAGGCACTTGAGTTTCCTGTGTATTCTGGTTATCAGTCCCTTGTCTGAGGCATATTTAACAAAAACATTTTCTCTTTCTGAGGGTTGTCGATTCACATTTGTTACTGTGTCCTTTGCTGTGCAGAAACTTCTTAGTCTGATACAGTCCGACTTGTCTATTGTAGGGATTATTGCCTGTGCTTTGGGAGTCTTATTAAGAAGTCTTTGACTACTCCAATGTCTCTCAGAGTTTCCCCAGCATTTTCCACCAGTAGTTTTATTGTTTGAGGTCTTAGGTTCAGATCTTTGATCTATTTTGAGTTGATTTTTGTTAATAGTGAAAGATGGGGGTTCAGTTTCATCTTTCTGTAGGTGGATACCCAATTTTTCTAGCACTATTTACTGAAGAGGTTTTCCTTTTCCCAATGGATTGACTGATATCCTTTGTCAAAGATCAGTTTTGGGGGTTATTTCTGGGGTCTCTATTCTATTCCATTGGTCCACAAATGATATATAAATTTTCAACTGCCATTTCATTGTTTGATCCCTGATTGTTGTGTGTTTTCTGTTTTTTTTTTTTTCCCTACTGTTGTTTCTCTTTGTTATTTGGTAGATTTCCATAGTTTAAGGGAATGAATAATTTCTCCTTCTTTGCATGGTAGTTGTACTGGTGAGTTTTATAGCTTCATGTGTTTCCATGGTGCTATCCTTCCTCCTTTTGTTTCCAAATATGGTACTCCCTTGAGTATTTCTTGAAGAAGAGCCAGTTCAGTGTTGGTGAATTCCATCAGTTTTTCTTTGTCTCAAAATTATTTTATTTCTCCTTGAAATCTGAAGGGAAGTTTTCCCAGGTCGAGTTTTATAATATGAAGAGATACACATATATATATGTATTTACCAGTGCCGCTAGGACATTATCATGCTTTTTATCACAGCTATTTTAATAAGTTATAAGAAAAGGTCACCTTCACTAAATTCCTCTGACTGAATATCTAGAATTTCTCAAATAGTGAATAGCAGCAGTGGCAACATTCTCATGGACAGCAATGTCCTTTATTGTTTCATTTACATTTGGTACAAATTTCACTTTTAGTGTTATTAATTTTTGGTTTTGGGCCATAGTTCAGGCTTTGATGACCAATCCTCTATTTTGATTATCCACATCATATGTATTTATCACTGGGAAACTAAAAAGCTACATGCTTACACACTTTGCTGTCTGTGCATGAACTGAATAACAACTGTGCCATGACCAGTCACTGGACATATATATATTTTTTTTTTTTTTTGAGAAGTTTTTGCTATAGGGCGCGTAAGCTCACCAGAAAGACAGAGAGAGACAGAGAGATAGAAAGTGAGAAATCACCTCCCCCACCCGGGGGATGGCCACACCAGAATCCCTTCTCCTTCATTCTTCTCTTGGGATCTTGGGCACGCATGCACATGTGCCTGGCGTGAGTTTAAGCCACTCAAACTGTGGTTGGCTACATGAGAGTCCAGCGACATAGCCATTATGCAAACTGCTGGTCCCCTTGTACAGATATTTTGAAAAGTGCCGTCATTGATCAATGATCAATTTCTTAGTTATTGGGTCATTGGGAAAGCCAGGACACATTTTTTACTTAGAAAAATATAGAAAAATACATCATGACTTTCTCGATGACCTAATACATAGTAACTGTGGACTAAAGAGTTAGCAACAAAGTTCGAGCATCATACAGTTGCAGTTAATATACCATGTTAACTGAAATTTAAATTGCATTGTTGTGAGCATAGTGTTATTTAACTAAACTGTGGTAACCAAAATATACATATATCCAGACTTTCTCTTATGGATATATGTGCGTATTTGTCCTTTACTAAAATGGGATTGCTTTAGGTCCATTTTTTAAACATAACTTTATGTAATATGTCTGTCAGAAAATCACAGTAATCTCAACTTCATATTTTATGACTGCATAGTATTTTATTGTAGAATTGCGCCTTACTTTATTTAACCCATTCTCCTTTTGAACATTTAGTTTTTTTCTCAATGAAAAACAATACAGTAGGCTAATTAACGTATTCATCACTCATCAATTTTTATATACACAGATCAAAACATCACGATATTTCCATAAATATATATAATTATGGTTAATTAAAAATAAATGAACGCAAACAAAAACAAAGGTGCGTTAATTACCTCTGTAGCTAAATTTTCGAGATAACTCTTATTTACTTGGAACGAATGTATTTCTAATGAAAGAATTGGTGTTTCACAAGATATTCACACTTAAAACATTTTCATAGCCTTCCAAATTTGGAGATATGTTCCCATTTAGGCTCCTATCAGAGTCATAAATTGGGAGGTGCTGTTGCCCAATTCCTAAACTCTTGTCCACATAGGGTATTATCTTTTTTTTTTTTTTATTATGACTTTAGTCATCTAAATAGGTTAAGCATATATTTTATTTTAATAGTTTGATTACTTGTTAGGTTGAATATTATTTATGGGTTTATTTCCAGCAAATTTTGGTTTGTGAAATTTTATTCTATCTTACTGGGCTGTCAGAAAAACCATGATGCATTTTTACTTAGAAAAGCAGAAAAAATGCATCATGACTTTTCCAACAACACAGTATACTATGGTAGTTTTCAAATAGTCGAGATTTTTCTTGCTTTATTAGGTTGTTTGTGTACATGTATTTTTACAAATTTATATTTAAATAAATGTGTGTGTGTGTTTGTGTATGTGTGTGTAACACACATGCTAGAACTGCATTCACATGTATATACCATTCTTGGTTTTTATCGAGGAATCATAAAGAACATTTTCTTAAACTTAGTTTTATAATATGACCATCAGTATCTAAATGCTTTTCTCTTTCTTTTTTAGAAAGGAAAAATAACCCATGACTTGGGGAAATTCTAGTTAATTTTTCATTACATGATTTTTCAGGAGATGGGGTCAAAAGGAGCTAGTAGGGCATTCAATTATGTGCTTGGGTGTGTTAGAATGTCTATTTTCTTCCTCAGGTGTCCAATGTTTTACTTGAGCTTGTTTTTCAAGTGCATTAAAGTGTGACTAAACATTTTTGGGTACTGCCATTATGTAAAGGAGAGGCCCCATCTTGTTAAATATTCCTTCATCAACTTTGCAGTTAACCAGTTATGGGCAATGAGCAGCCTGCAAAGGCATGGGCTTTGAGCATTGGATAGAGGGAGGGTGGGTGGGAGGCGGGGACCTGGGGGACACTTAGGATTGGGGTGCTCTGTTTCCCCTCCCACTGCTGTATGAAAAAGTAATTGGTTCAAGCCGCTTTCTGTTTAATAATTTTGGATGGGTCACAAGTGGGGAGGGAGAGGACGTTGTGTGGTTGAACCTCAGCTCATCTGAGGGCTAAAGGTTCTTTGTCACACACCACACAGAACTGGAGTGCTGTCCTTCTAGAGAACAGAGATATAGTTGGGACCAAAAGAATAGAGAGAGACTTTAATTTCTTTTTGGCACTTGATAAGGGATAAGAGAAGCTCAGCAAGAAAGATGTCCACTGAAAATGTAGAAGGGAAGCCCAACCACCCTGGGGAGAGAGGAAGATCTCGAAGCTACACTTTCCTCAGGGTTGTACAGCCAGTGTTTAACCACAGTATTTTTACTTCTGCAGTCTCTCCTGCAGCCGAACGCATCCGATTCATCTTGGGAGAGGAGGATGACAGCCCAGCACCCCCTCAGCTCTTCACCGAACTGGACGAGCTGCTGGCCGTGGATGGGCAGGAGATGGAGTGGAAGGAGACAGCCAGGTGAGACGTGGCTGTTCATATGGAGCCCTGACCTGGGGAAACAAGTATAGGGCAAGATAGTTGAGCCTGGGAGCACCTTTCTTTAGCCTTCACATATAAATAACTGATGAGTGTAGTGTTGGTTGGGGTAGGGAATAAAGGATTCTATTTCTACTTTTATTTTGCATTGATGTGGATGCAGGACAGCCTTTGAGTCACTGCTAGATTACCCCTATTTAATTGAGTTCTATTGTTTTAATTCTGATTTTTATAAGCAATTAGAAGAAATCTCAACTTATATGACATTCGATAGTATTTTAGAAATAATAAACTCAAGAACCAAAATATGATAGCCAAGACATATTCATAGTCACCAAATGCCAAGGCATCTTGTGAGATCTTGTCTGACTTATTATCCATTCCTTGCTGGGAGGGGAGTTGTCAAGACAATGATGGTTACCAGAAACTAGCTATTATTTCAAGTAAAAACATGTCATATTTTAAATATTTAGCCAAAAGCAAGTAGAAGGTTCACCTGAATTTGAAGTTTAGAGACCTGAATTTAACTTCTAGACTCTGTCTCTTGTTAGCTACAAGAAAGAGAGTTTCTTAGAACTTTGGTTTTATTATCAACAAAAAGTGGATAATAATGCCTATATGTGTATGCTATATAAAATATTTAGTGTATGTGAACAAATATACAATATATGCAGTATGTATGTATATTTACATACATAGATGTATCTATGGACATAGCTCTGTAAATTGTTTAGCCTTATACAAATTCTCAGGCTTCATTAACTCATGATAACAGAGCTTTTCTTACATATAGATTCAGTAATACAGTCTAGACTGAATCTTCTTCCGTTGACATATAACAATTACGTAATATATAAACTTGGTTATAATGTAGTGGTTGATTTTTCATTGTCATCATTCCATGAAAATACCAGTGCATTTCATTTTCAGAAACAAAATTGTAGGCTATCCTTTTTATAGTCTATAATTTAATTCAAATCAGCCTAATTCAACCAATGTTTTTGAGCAAGCGATGTACAAAAGGCACTGTTTTACGTATTGGGAGTACAGCAATGAGCTCTTACATAGCTCTCTTTATCTTATTGGAATGTTTGAAATAAGTTTAATAGACTATCTTACAATTCAAGGAATGACAAGAACAAAATCATTGTTCTTACGTTGAGTTTAAGAATATAAAGCAAAGATAGGTGCAAGTCTTCTGCTGTGGTTGGGGATGGAAAAGGATTTATGTCTGCTGTTCTGGTTCTACATAGATCATTTTGGAGTCAGAAATAAATGATTTTTATTCTTTTATCACTTGTGAGCAGTAAGAACAGGTGAGCTATAAAGAAGCAATCCTCTAATAGTCTTTCCTTTTCTGAATGAAGGAGCTATTTATTTATTTATATTTTAAAAATGATTTTATTATCTTTTAAATAGTTGTACCTATTTATGAGGTACAGTATGATTTTTCAGTACAGGCATCCAATATGTAATGATTGAATCAGGGCAATGAAATATTTATTATCTCAAGAAGGTTCTTTTGTGAGTTAAAAGAAGAACTTTTATTTTCTGAAGCATAGCTTATACGTTTCTTGGACGGATATGAAAGATTTGTTGCTGAGTGAAGCAAGGTATGGTATGAAAGAGAGACATTGTATGTCTCCACTTAACATAAACTGACTGTTCACAGTGTATGGTAGAGACCGAAAGACTGGAGGACATAAAAGCATTAAAAATTGTTATGTACACTAGAGACAAAGTAGAAGGAGAGTGTGGGAGGGGAAGAGCATAGGGAAGGAAACTTGGGGGAAAAATAGGGAGGTAAGACATTTTGGGATACAGATATGGTTTACCATCTGTTGATGAGGATGTGTATAGTGTTCTTAACTAGGTTGGACTGAGGTATATGTCATGCTAGGTAAAGTCTCTTTACTATCTAAATCATGTATAGTGATTGAATGTATAAATAATAATAATAATAATAATAAATAGGAAAAATAAAGAAAAACAGCTCCAATGCATGTAGTGGAATAAAATAGCAGTCATAAGGTAGGTATACTCCATAATCCTCATGCAAATTTATAGGCCAGTGTGTGATAATTAGTTATCCATGAAGCTCTGTGTGTAATAGAATAAAATAACAGTCATAGGGTAGGTACACTCCATAGTCCTCATTAAAATTTATATGCCAGTGTGTGACAAAAAAAAAATTCATAGTTATGTTATTTGTAATCAAAATGTACTCATCGATTTAAGTGCATTTAAAAAAATTTACTCAGACTTACATTTTATAAGGTTAAGAATTTATTCATATTTTCACAGTTTTAAGTGATATTGAATGTCTTCAACTGTTTGGGATTTTTAAAACTTGGACCAGCAGGTGACATGGTGGTAAAGATGCTGGACTCCCACGTGGCAATTAGAGTCTTGGACTTGGCGGCTTAGAAATCACACTGGGCACGTGTGCATGTGTGTCCAAAATCTCAGGAGAAGAATGGAGGAGAAGGGATTGTGTCCTGGCTATCTCCCCAGGGAGGTGATTTCTCACTTTCCCTCTTACTGTCTTCCTCTGTCTCTCTTCTCTACAGAGAGTGCATACACCCTATGCAAAAACTTGATTCATTTGATAATGGTGGAGAAATTTTGACTTCTCACCACAGATTTCTAGGTGGCTTAGCCTTGTAGAGATAACATACTTTAAAAAAGTTTAGTAAAAACCCATGGTGATTTATCTTCCATGACTTAAACTGTGCTCATGAAAAAAGTCATTAACTCCTGGCCCTCACAGGTGGTATCCGGAAAAGAGACCTAATTTTTCAATATTTTATTTTTCACTTGCCTGGTAATTCTCTGTTAAATAGGTACCTTTAGTGGGTGTATTTGTTTTAACTCTTCTGTTTGACAGCTAATTAATACTTTTTCTTAAATGAGAAAAGCTATTCATAACATATTTCTATGTCCTCCATCTCTAATGACATCTCTTGAAGCTCTTTTACTTTTTGCTCTTTTGGGGTTTCTTCCTCTCTTCCTTCTGAACCAATAACCTCTATGCTAAAAATCCTCTCAGAGTTTAAATACTCTGGTATTTTAGTTTTTAGAGATCATCTGCATTTTCTTCTGCAATAAACCTGAAAGAGATCTACTCACTGTTATTTATTTATCCTTTAGCAACTGAAGCATTAAGTGACATCAGCTTTTATTCTCAGTCCTTAATATTAATTGTATTTGAGACTGTTTAGCTAGTTCATGGAGAAAAAGAAGCCCAGGCATAAATCTTTATACTATCCCCCTGCCAGTCCTACAACACAATTTTAATGAAAAAGTTCTACCAGTCCTTGGGCAGTTTATATGTTGTGGACAGATCTGTTATCAACGGGAGTGATTGTGAAGTGGCCAGTATTATAATTTAGAAGTTATGATCTTTGATCCATTCCTCAAACTATATCAAGAGTTGGCTTTTATTATCCTGTAGGTCTTCTGGGTTTCTTGCTGCATATAATTCATAAAGCATCCTTTGAAAGAAGACTTCCAAAGGAAAAAGTCTTACTAGTATCTTAGCGCTATTTTTCCTTTTCCTTTGATCTGATAGGAAACTACAGGGGTGAATTTACTAGGGGGCCTGAATTAAGGTTTGGGGAGTTTGGTCTAGTCTTGGCCTTTCTGCTTGCTCAAAAGCTATCTTCTGGAGCTTGTGTTTTTCATTCTATCACATGAAGGTCATATTGGATTATGTCCTCTCTAACTTGATCCATATTATATAGCTCTAAAATTTCATTCCTGTGTTTATACTACAGCAGTCAGCTGTGACTCTACGGCTACTTTGGTTCTTATTCTCCTTTTAAAATTCTCTGTGAATAGTTAGCTTAGAGTAGAATTCAGGTGTAGAATTCTATTTCTTTTTTTTTTTTTTCAGTCAGATGCAAACTACACTTTATTTTTTATGATCTCTGGTCCCAGAAAGGTGAGAGATCACTTTTAATTGTATAGAGAATTCAACGTTGAAAGAGAAGGACACAGTATTTTAATTTAAGAGTCTTAAAGATTAAGATGGCCCTGAATGCTTTAGCATTCTTAAGAAACTTTATCTTCTGGGGAGTATGTGTGCCATTCTGGTGATGTAATTGGTCCCCAAGAGACTGTAGTGATGGAGAAGAAGGATATTGGGAATATATTTGGTGTCAGGGCGGGGGGGGGGGGAAGCCATCCAGGAAGAAAAAGAACGCACAAATAGTTTACACTCAATAACTTCTTACAGAGCACTTGCCACAGTTACTATTCATTGATTAAATGTATATGTGATGTTTCATTAGGTCTCCATTCTGCTAATTCCTCAGAAGACAAGAGCCACCCTGTATATCTGTTCACGACTGCATTTTCAGTGTTTTGCGATGCTAGTTCATGATAGGAGCTCAGTAAATATTTGTTAAATGTGTGATCAGTTGAGGACTAATTGCCTTTAAAACAACTGTTCTGAATAGAAATGCTTTCTTAGAAATATTAATTAACCAAAGTTGAGCTTCTGTTATAATTCATCTCTTTCTGATTGATGGAGTTTTGTTGAATGACAGAGCCAACATTGAGAAAGTGATAAAATGATAAAACCATTGATAAATCTCTGAAGAGGACTTATGTTTAAAGTCCCAAACTAATTCATCAACATGCCAATGACATGTGTATTTGTATCTCTCTAGTCTAGACTTCTTTCCTTATTTAATTGGCATTGAATTAGCGAAGGACTAATAGTACTCTTGAAGTAACGTGTCTAAAGTTAAGTTCCATACTTTGCCCTTTAAGAGATTTCTCCATTTCAGTAAGCATTTCCATTTTCTTAGTGGCTTGAACCAGAAACTTTGGAGTCTTTCTTGATTCCTCCCTCCCTCCCTCCCTCCCTCCCTTCCTTCCTTCCTTCCTTTTTTTTCTGTTTTTGAGAGATTTTTGCTATAGGGTGCATGTGCTCACTAGAGAGACAGAGAAAGACAGAGAGACAGAAAGTGTGAAAT